GATTTTCTTGTTTTTATTATTGTTATTTTGTAATGGCCCAGAGCTGAGGTGCTGTGGAAGGGGGATGGTATTATCCCACCTCTGTCTCTGCAGGGCCCCACGTTGTTACTGCTGTGCTTGAGTCCCTACAACATTCCCAGGCCGTGTGGCTGAAAAACGACCTGTTCCATCAGCTGTGGTTTTGGGCAGCTTGATTTGACTGGCACGTGGGTGCAGCCATTTGCCTTAATCCTCCCTTTCCTCTCTGAGTGCATCCCAGCTGGTGCTGGGTGAGTCCAAAATCCCCTGGAAGGGCACTGCTGCACTGAGAGCTGTTTCTCAAGAGGGCTCCCTGCTCTGTGAGCTGTCCCAGCCCCAGACCTTCCTGGGCTAGGAAGGCCTACCTTGCTGCAAATCTGGGAATCATCTAGGAAGGGTATCCAGGAGGGCAGGCTGATGTTCTCACGGAGATAGGACTGTCTTGCTGACAAATCCTGCTCACCTGGGGTTTAGACCTGCGAACAGTGACTAAACCTTGAGTTGTCAAGAATGTGTCGGAGGTGTGAGGATGCGAGGAAAAATTGGGATGAGGTAAGAGACAGGTGTTGGGCAAGAGCACAGAGGAGGCACCTCAGGGAGAGAGGTACCTGGCAGGTGGATGGCAAAGCAGCCCTAAAACTGAGTGTCAGTGTGAGACGGAGGAGATGGTGATTCAGGAGACGCACACGTATCTCCTGGGGGTTAGACCTGTGGGAACAGTGAGCTTGGAATAAATGAGACAGAAGTGGTTGAGCTCTAATTTTTTTTTTTTTTTAAAGGCAAGAGATGTTGCTGAGATGGCTCGATGGGCTCTTTGCCCTTTGGCACTTCTGAAGTGACCCTGATCCTTAGGACTGTGACAAGGTTTCCCTCTGCCCTGCGCTCCTCAGGAGGGCTCTGAACAGACCCCTTGATGGTGCAAGTTGTGTGTTTGGCACAAAATGGGATGAAATGGGATAGCTCTTCCCACTGTGCTCCAAGAGGGGACTGTCCAGTGCTGAGCAAGGATCAGGACGTGTAGTGCAGCTACGTGACCAGGGATTTTTTTTCCCCCCCCACATTTGCAGCAAGATTGGAGAAGCATTTGGATATGACCTGTTTATAGCCTGAGATAATTTCTGCCTTGGCAAACACAGAAAGAGATAAAGCAATGGAGAGCTGAGAGCTAAATCTCCCCTGTACAAATGCTGGGAGCATATGTAATAGGATTGTTGAATTGGAGTTACATGTTTTCCAGGATAAGCACTGTTTGATGATACCGTGCTGCTGCAGCCAGTCTTAAACCAGGAAAAAAGGACTGGGGATTTGCAGCAGTTGTTGGGGATGTTGGGGTTTCCCTGTGAACTTTGAGAACAGCAAAAGGGAAGAAAAGGCCTTTTGCAGATAAGACAGAACAGATCCCTAAGAAGGCTGGAGTCCTGTGGGGAGGAAACATCAACGCTCTGACCTCAGGGTAATCAGGTATCACAGATTTTTCTCACACAAAATGCAAACTCTTTTGCAGATCTTCTAGCTGAACTTCTGTTAATTTACATGGGAAAACTGGGTTGTTTGTTTGTTTGGTTTTTTTTTTTTTTTTTTTAGCAACATTCTCACTTGTTTTTCTGTGCCCCTCTCAAGAGGCGCATTAAAAACCCTGCACGTCCCGACCTTGAAGGTACAGTTTGAAGCAAGCTAAGCTCAGAAGATGTCAGAGCTGAGGCTGTCTGCCTGATCTGGACTTGTCCTCTTTCCACCTGGGGCTTCTGACGCAGTGTTTAATTACAGGACACCTCCTGCCTTGCCTGCAGCACGTTTGCTTCCCAGTAGTGCTGGAAATGATGGGCTGCCTCTGACCCTGCTTGCAAGAGGGACTTGAGGATGGGGGAAGAGGAGTGGGATTTTCGGTGCTGTCTAGTTTGGGAAGCCTGAGGTCTGCTTCTCCTGGGGATTTGCTGGTCTGCGTGGATACAAGTCTGGCTTGTGGTTCCTGTGTCCATCAGTTGTGTCCTTCACCCCCTAACGAGGCAAGGGAGGGAATGCCCCACGTCCAGGGGGAGCTGCCTTGGGGGGCAGACATCCCTGCTGCTGCAGGGGCTGGATTTTTTGGGGTGGGAGCAGGATTTGGGCACACATGCTGCGTGTGTTTGCTGTGAGGGTGCCCGTGGAGCCGGTCTGTGCTGAGCACAGGCTGACTGAACCTCTGCTACATCCCAAGTGCTGGATCAAGGCCAGCACAGCCTCTGCCCGGGGCGTTCCACACCCCTCCGGGGGTGGTGGTGGGAAAAGGGGGAAGCTCCCGCCCGGCCCTCGGTATCAGCGCATCGAGGCAGATTTAATCGCAGTGGAGCCACAGTCCTGCCCATCATTAGGACTCAGGCCAGCATGAATTAAGACTTCCAGGGCTGATATCCTTCGTGCACACGTAGGAATGCAGATAAAACTTCCCAGAAACGTGATCTGCTGATCTGCTGCTGCTCCAGCCTGAGCTCCCTAAAGACACGGTCCCTCTCCTGCCGAGCCCTCCTTGCTCCCCGAGGTGTGTGAGGGACGCCCTGTTTTTTGGGCTGGGTTTCAATCTGTTCCCAGGGAAAGCGTTTCTTTCCTGAAAACCCGTCTGTGCTGAGACAAAGCAATGACCGGCACAAGGTGAATCAGACCCTTTGGTAAACAGCCAGGTGGATTTGTCCCAGCCCAGCGACAGGTGGGAGCTTCTCTTGGCTGACGTGGGGGTGGATCAGCACCTGGGCTGGATATTGGAATATTTGAAGCTGCTGCCTAATGCCTGATGAGGGTCCCTGCTCCTGCCTCTGCTCCACCTTTCTCCTGGGGTGTAGTGGTGGCCAGCAGGCTGCCAGCTCGCTTCCATCCTGGATCATATCACGACATCGTCACCATTTCTGGCTTTGAGTTGGTGCAGTTGCTAATCCTGCTCCTGGAGTTTGTTTTTCATAGAATCATGGAACGGTTTGGGCTGGAAGGGACCTTAAGGTCCATCTAGTTCCACCTCCTGCCATGGGCAGGTATACTTTCCACTTGCCCAGGTTGCTCCAAGCCCCATCCAGCCTGGCTGCTTGGACAGTCTCTCTGTACTCCTCCCAGCCTACCTATCCCTGCTTCCACCCTCTGTACACAGGCCTTCTGGAGTTTTTACCTGCCTTCACTCCTGAGCTTAGAGGAGGTCGTCCTTGAATATTAACCAGGTTGTGTGGGTCCCTCTCCCCTCCAGGGCTTTATCCCCTTGAGACTCTACCAAGCAGATCTCTGGGAAAACAACTGCATCCAGTTTTTGTTTAATTTTTGATGAAAATACCCTTTTTGTGCTTTTTTTTTTTTCTTTTTGTTCTGTTTTTTTGTTTCGGTTTGTTTGGGGATTTATTTTTGTTGGGTTTATTTTATTTTTTTTGTGTGTTTGTTTTCCCACTCCCCATCCCTGGCAGTGCTGGAGCAAATGAACGGGCAGATGCCCTCCTTTCCCTGCAGCATCCTGGAGCTGTACTTCACCTGCTGGATCGTGAAAGGAGGTGCTGTTATCTCCATGAGCGATTTGCTGCGAGAAGGAAGGCTTAACTGTGCCCTTGAGACGTGGGTCCAGACCCCAAATCCACTGCTGGGATGAGCTGATGTCCCTCTAGGGTGGTTGGTGGAGCTTGCGCTGGGTTTGGTGGAGCCTTGTGGAGCAACCCCAGTTTCTGGCTGAGAGCTGCTGATGGGGCAGTGCTGTGCGACTGGGGCTGTTCTTGGCAGCTCCCTCCTCTCTTTTCCAGCTCTTTGGCTGTGCCTGCTGTGTTGTCAACCAGCAAAAGCCCATTCCCCTTGAATTATGGATGCATAAATCAGGGGAGGGGCGTTGGGTTGGGCGGCCGTTCAGAGAGCAGGTGTTTCCTCTTTGGGGTTTAAGCCACCAAATTCATCAGGACATTTCAACTTCTCGCTTTTTAAACTCCCTGATCCTGGAGAACAAAGTCATTTTCTCAGCTTTGGAGCCCGACATCTGCTCGCAGGGATTACTCCTGTTCCTGCGGCGGCGGGCGCGGATTTCCTCGGTGGAAGGGGATCTGTTGGAGGGGGTATTAAAAGCCCAGTACAAGTTCCTGTTCTGGAACGGAGATTGCTCGGCAGGTTTGGGAGTTGAGGCGTGTTGGAGCTTGCTTATTTACTTGGCAGATGTCTGATGGTGTTACATCATCCCCGGCGCTCGGACCTGCGGGGCTGCAGAAAGGGCTCAGTGTGTGGTGGTGGGTTGAATGGCCATGGGGAAGCTCTGCTCTTCCCACTTTCCCGTGGTGGGAAAACAACCATTTTCAGTGAGGAGCCGCCAGCCAGCCCTGCCTCCCATGGGCCCCTGTCCTGGGGTGATGGGGAGCACTGGTCAGGGAGAAGGGCCATCAGAAATCTCCGCTGGATGGTGCTCAGGGGGTTTGTCAATCCGCTCGTGTTTCCCATCTCTGAGCAGCGTGCAGGGGTGGTATTTGCTGGGAATGAGTGACCTTTTACTACTTGAGTTGGGCAGGCGTTCCAGGGGTTTATTTTTAAAGCACGTTCTGTTTTGCCACCTCAAACCTCTTTCAGTGCTTCCAGGTTGCTGTTTTGTGAGATCCAGACTAAGCCCCAAGCATGATTTTGCTGAGAGCACGCATCTGAGAGCCAAGCTTTTTATAAGGCTCCAAATCAATAGCAGTGATACAATTAGCTAAGCCCAAGTCCAGTGGAAAAAGTTGCTTTGGAACAATTAAGTGCTGCCTGCAGCCCTGAGAGCCCGGAGCTCTCAGGGAAACGGTCTTAATTGGGCTTTGTGGCTCTGGCAAGGTAGGAACAGCAACCAATAGTGAGAAGCAATTGGGATTTGAATTATTTCCCCCCTCTGCACTAGTAGGTCGAGGTGGTGTTAGTGATGAGAGTCTGGCTGAGTGTGTTGCAGGGGGTCAGGCAGGTGACTGCCAGCTGCGTGTGTCTGGCTCGGTGTTTGGAGCTGACCTGTTCATCTTTCTTTTCCATTCCAGGAGCTGTGTGGGACAACCAATGCTTCCCTACCGTCCTGCTTTCTGCTGTGACCCCCTCATGTGAGTAGTGACCCCTGGGGTGTGTGTTTGCAGCTCCTGCCCACCCTCCTCCTGCTCTGCTCACCATCCCTTCCCTCTCTGTCCTGGGGCAGAGCAGAACAGGGGGGGTCTTTTAGGAATAAAAACTTCAAGGCTTCTTTGAGGTACACAGTGAAGTGTTTACACGAGAGACCGTGTCAGCAGCTGTGTGTTTTATCCAAGCAAGTATGTTCAGACACGTTTATAGAACCATGGCAGCACTAAATCTGGACAGTTGGTCCCTAATCTTTGCAAAGATGCAGAAGTGATTAAATAAAAAGATTTCCCTGCGGTAAACCCTGTAAGTTGCAATGTAAGTGTGACCCCAGGCTTTTAAAGGCTCTTCTCCTGTCCCTCCCCACACTTCCTCTGTGTGGTCGCTCCAAATTGCTGCCAGCTGGCCCTTTTGTCACGTGTGTGTGTGTGTGTGGTTGTGGTTGTGCTGCTTCTCATTTTTGTCCAAAGAGACAGACGAAACCTGTGGCTTATTCAGATCTTTGAATTTGCAGCCAGTCTAACAGCAGGAAGGAGAAATACGGTTCAAAACTCAGAGGGAAGAGGTTCTGTCCTTTAGTGCCTCACTGTTGACCACAGATCCCACCGTGCCCATAAATCTAAGTCTTCTTGCCTGTTGTGTTTGAGGTTTTCTTCCCTCTGTGTTGCCTTCTGCCCTGTTTCAGACGTCAGGTTAAGTTCTTCCTGGTGTGTTTTCAGCTTGACAAAGATGATCTGTTTTGTTTGTTCCAGGGTAAGTTGATTTTTTTTTTTTTTTTCAGCTGAGTGATTTTGTGGAGACAAAAACAGAACAAAAATATTTCTTTAAAAAAACATCAGCTTTGTAAAGAAAGGAGAATGAAACCAGAAAGTGATACATCATCAAATTGAACGTGCCAGTGTGCAAACATGAGGCAGAGCAGTCAGTTAACAGCAGATGATAGTGAAATGGGGTGATATTTCCAGTTTCCCTGGGGTTGAAAGCACATGTGGTTTACAATGGATAATGAAATGTTACGGTTTTTATGTCTAATACGTTAATTCTGCCAGGGCAGTAATCCCAAGGTTGCAATCCAGTGCAAGGCTGACATTTGTTGGAAGGAGATGCACAGACATTTATTGAGGACACAGACTACAGTGCATTTAACAAAAAATAACAGAACAGTGGGAAAGGTCTCCTCTCCCTTGCCTCTTCCCTTCCCACTCTCTCTTCCCTTCTCTCCTACTCTGTGGTATCAAATATTGACTCAGGCCAGAGGAGCTGCTGCTTGGAACCTGTTGCTCCTTCTGTGGCAAATGCAAAAGTTAATTCCCTTTTTTTGTGTGTGTTTTGAAAGAGGAATATCACCTGTGATCTTTTTGTGCTTGTGTTGTGGCTTGGGCTTTGTAAGAGCAAATCTTGAGCACTTCCAGCTTGGAGCATCCTGCCCTGTCACACACCTGCATGGGCAGGTGTTTGTGGGTCAGACCAAGGTCCTGATCCAGAGTCTAAACCATGTGTTTTGAACCTGGTTTGCTCTAAACTGGCCCTGTTTCCCTCCTCTGCTTCCCTGCCCAGTGGCTCTGAGCCTGAGCTGCCCTTCTAATCAGGGCCTTGTGTTCCTGCTCCCTCCTTGCAGCAGCACCAGAGGTATCCTCTCTGCACAGTGAAGCAAGTTCAGGGAGCCAGGATGGCCAGAAAATTAAAAGGTGGGGTTTTGGCCAGCTGTGTTTTGGGAGCCAGAAGAAGGCTGGAGGTGGGAATACATAGGCAGGAGGTGGTAGCCCTGATGTGGTCGCTTTTGAGGAGGAAAGAGGGGTCTTAGAACTTGTTTAGCTCTCCTGTGGTCCCAATAAACTGTATCACTGGGATCCTTCACTCCAAAGCCCGGGGACAGATGGACACCCTTGGTAAACCCTTCCTTGCCAGCTGCAATCCTTGTGGATTTTGGAGCTTCTTCACTCATGTCCTGCAAGATGATGTCCCAGGAGATACCTGCTTTAGGGACCAGCCAGGGATCCATGTGGGGAGTGGTGAGGAGGCATCTCCCTGGAGAGGTCTGGATGGCTCCTGCTGCAGGATCACCTAATGGGCAGAGTGCAGGAGTCCTGGGGCTTTCTGTGCTTTTTGTTCTGCTTTTGCAGGGATCTGCCCAGGACTTTGATCCGTGGTTGCTGTAGGAGGCTGTGTTTTTGGTGTGTTATGGGAATGAGAGAGGATTGATGCTCAGAGCTCTGTGCTGGCCCTGAGCTCAGCTGGGTTCTGCAGAACCCCGAAATGCGGAACGGGGTTATTTATGTTTGAGGAGTTCCCTTATCTCCCCAGCGTGGCTGCAGTGGGGGAAGTGGGCCAGGTTTTAAAAGCCATTTCTCCAAGTGACTGCCTGCAGCCTTCTGGACTTGCTTAAGCACACCCATTTCTGCTTTTGGGGCAATTAGTGCAGCTGATGAGGCTGTGCCATTCTGTTGCTCAGTGGCCTGTTTCTGTGTTTTCCCTCCCACCGCTCTATTTGATGCCACTTTAATACATATCCACCCCTATTCTCCCCGTCCCACTGTGTATCAGTCACATCTGTGTGTGTGGAATAGAATAAGGGAAAAATAACTTTGGTCACACAGACTTACCCAGAGGAGGATCTGCCCTGATACCTCGCCGAGCTTCTTAGAGCTGGAGCAGTGACAGCAGGGCAGCACTGGAGTCCACCTCCCAAATGTTGTGTTTAATCCCAAATCAGGCTTTAGCATTCAAGTAAGAGACAAATGCTGAAAAGCCTCATAAGAAGTAGAATGAACAGGCAGGACTTTAAAAAACAAACAAACAAACAAAACCAAAAAAACACATCTAGAATGAGGAAAAGTAATCAGCAGTTCTGGAACTATTATGGTTTTTAGAATGCGAGGCTTTTGCCAGTAAAAGAAGACCAGGTCTCTGCCTTTGAGCTTGCTTAAGCAGTTAATCTGTGTATGAACTCTTAGTCTTAGGGATCATTCAGAAATTACGAATCTCTGAGCCTTCAGGGACACATTTGGACAAGTATAAAGGCAAGGTCCTGTGGCGGTGGCATTAGAAGCTGGAGGCCCAGGTCAGACCTTAATGCAGGTCTTCCAAAGGTGAGTGTGTAGCCTCATGGATATAAGCCAGTTAGTAGAAAAGGGCAAAAAGGGAAGGCACTAAGACATGTGCAGTAAGTCCAGTTGTGCCAGCTGTGATGTTTATAACCTTGAGTGGCCCTGTGAAAGTCAGTGCTGGTGGCTCTCTGTGCAGAACCTGAAATCCAGATCTCTGCTTGCTTTGGAGGGCTTTGGGTCAGGGTCCCCCCAGAGAGCTGGTAACTGAAGAGTGGGATTCCTGTGCCACGTTCTGGTCCAGGGAGGTTGAAACCAGGTCAGGGCTTCATTTCATTGAGGTGACATTGAAGAGAGGTTTTGGTGTTTTGTTTTTTTTTTTTTTTTGTTTGTTTTTACCATATGGCTGTAATAGAAGAAATAAATTGGAGCTTGTTTTCTAAAAATGAGAACATGTGCAGTCAACCAGCGTCTTTTATTTTTATGCAGCACGTCCAAAATAGATGCCAGTCTGCCTCTTCGGGAACGTGCATCCGGCAGAAAGTCACAGCAGCACTTTGTGCTCCCTTCCCTGACTTCCCCGCTCTCCCACCACTTGACAGTGAGCTGTTCCAGGAAGTGACTCTGTTTTGGATGTGCCCATCGCCCCCACACCACGGGGGTGAAGGTGGCAGTGACACGAGGAGGGGGTGGGTGGGTGACACTGAGCTGCTCTGGTCCCCCTTCTCCAGTGAAAAGCTCAGTGTGGGAAGGAGGGAGGGAGCAAGGACACGTGTGCAGCCCTCCTGCTCTGCCGAAAGGTGAGAGTTGGAAGCACTGCCTGGACAGAGGAATTACTGGCAGGGTGTTTTCTGCTGTGTCCCTGGAGTTAGAATCGATAGTCCGTGCTTGCAGCCACGTGCTGTTTGCTCAGCCTGGAAAGGAGCAGTTTGCTCAGAGATGTTTCCTTTGGATCTGCTGGGGGTGGAGAGCATTTCCCCTCCCAGTTCCTGCTGCCAACACATGAGGAATTACAGAATCATTTAGGTTGGGAAAAAACCTCCAAGATCATCGACAAGGGTCTGCACAGGCAGGGTGGGAGGGATGGATGGGGATGGTGCAGTCCCTGCCCGCTGGCCTGCCAAGGCTCTGGAGCTGGGAAGAGGTTTCTCCATGAGCTAAGAGAATATGCCTCCCTCCTTTGGGGAGAGACTGCGCCACTGAGCAAACTTTGGGCTTTGCACAGGGACTGTCATGCTCCTCCTGAGGGAGAGGGAAAAGACAGAGACTTGGTCTTGTGCTGGTGTGAACTGGAATTTATCCCGGGAGTGAAAGGAGTTGTGCCTGTGCCAGATAATGTGGGATCAGGTGCTCAGTCAGCCCTGACTTCAGCCCCCGAATTCACAGCTGTGAGGGCATTTCATCCTGGGAACAAGGATTTGGGAAATGCAGCTCCTGCAGGGCCTGGAGGTGTGCAGGGTTTGGGGTGATAACCGAGGAGCTCAGGCTGGGTGGCCTGAGCAGGGGTTTAGGAGAGAGGAACAGTGTGACTTGTGGTCTGATGGCGTGGGAGATGTAACCACTGTGTTCCCAGTTCCCTCTTCCTCTTTGCTGTCCCCTCCCTGTGCTCAGGCAGCTGTGCGCTTGGCCAGGGCGGGGGATCAATCTGCCCAAATTCTGCCTTTTGTTTTCCATCAGGGCTGTGCAGGAGGAGATGGGGATAATACTTGCCTCGCAGGGGCACTGTGAAAGTTAATTTGCTAATTATTTGCAAAGCACATCAGAGCGCTGCTTCAGTTCTACACAAGGTTATGGTAACATCTAATTAATAATTCCTTATGATGCTTCATTTTCTTTCTGCTATAAATAATGGCCTAATGTGGGGACAACCCTGCCTGTGCTCGTCATCCCAGTGCCTCAGAGGGAATAATAGGCTGGATT